CAAGAAGGGAGTTCCCCAGCCTGTAGGTATGCTGCTGGTTCTTCCTCCCCAGGTGCAGCACCTTGCACTTGTCAGCGTTGAAACCCATTCTGTTCTCATCCACCCACCCTTGTAACCTGTCTAGGTCCAATTGCAGCCTATTCCTCCCTTCTAGTGTGCCCACATCCCCCCACATCTTGGTGTCATCGGCAAATTTGAATAGGGTGCTTTTTACCCCCTTGCCCAAGCCACTGATGAAGATGTTGAACAGCGCGGGTCTGAGGACTGAGCCCTGGGGGACCCCACTGCCCACATCCCTCCAGGTCGAAAATGACCCATCCACCATCACTCTCTGGGTGTGGCCCTCCAGCCAGTTAGCGACCCATTTGACTGTGTAGGTGTTGACGCCAGTCCCCTAGTTTTTTAATGAGAATGGGGTGAGAGAGTGTCGAAGGCCTACCTGAAGTCCAGAAAGACTACGTCCACTGCTACCCCAGTCCACTGCTATCTTCTCCAATAAATATAACTAATTATGCCTTCTTGCTGGGGCCCCCAGATGCCTGGGTTCCCTCAGGAAATGGTGGGGTTTCCCTTGCAGGCAGACAGTATTCTAGCTTGCAAGCGGTCCTTGCTTGGGGCTGCCGGGAGCAAGAGGCAGGGAAGCACGTGTCCAGGAAAACAGCCGGGCAGCACGGAGAATGGCTCCCTGCAAGGAAGTCTATGGAGGGGAAGAGGCATTGGGAGGGGCCCCCATGGTGAGGGAGGAAGTGGGGCAGGGGCTGGGGGCACTGCCCAGCCAAGGCAGTGTACGGGACCCGGGGCCAGGCTGAAAAGCAGGATGGACCCACGGGGAGTTCGTCCAAGGAGTACAGGGGGGGTGGCTCCCCACCACTGTGTACCCCACCCCAGGGGAGGCATGGGGGGGCATGTGCCCCCCTCCCCCCCCAGATTTGTGTACAGGGTGGATGTGGGCTGCTTGCTGTGGGCTCAGGGCTGTCCGCTTTGCTCGGGAGCCCCTTGCCAGCCACACGCCCCCTGCCCACCTGGCAGCATTGAGGGTGCCAAGTTGTGCCTCCCGCTGCCAGGTGGGTAAGGGACAAACACCGGATGCAGGGCTCCTGGGGGAAAGGCAGCAGGGCAGAGAGCCCCAAGCCCACAGAGGGCAGCCTGCATCTGCCCTCACCCTGCTCGGCTCTGCTCTGCTTAAAAGCATCCCTGTCCTTAAAAATGGTGGCAGCAGCATTTGAACTAAAGCTCATTTGACAAGCTTTAGTTCAAGCCCCCCCACCACCATTTTTAAGTACCAGAACAATGCTGGAGCATGCCAAAAAAAAAAAAAGTTTATGTCAGTACATTTTAAAGTACTCAGACTCAATTGAGTCTGCTCTGACGCACTGTAAATACAGCACATTGGAGGAGCTGTGTATAGGTGCCCTAAGTGTCACCAAACTGTTTCATCTGTGACAAGGGGGAAGGGGGAGGGGGAGGAGAGAGAGCGTGTGCGAGAGCACGAGAGAGCGCGCGTGAGACAAGGTAGGATTTATGAGCACATCAGCCATTTGCGCGAGAGAGTGTGAGAGGCAAGGCAGGATTTATCCTCCAGAGCACATCAGCCATTGCACCATGTAAAAACATGGCCTTGAACAAGACACCTGATTAGAGAAAATAACCTTGAAGAAACAAAAGGCTTACATCTAATGTGCCAGTGTGACAAATCGTAAAAATATTCAGAGTTTTTTAATTTATAACCCAGTACCAAGTTAGTGCCTCAGCCTTCTGCAAGTGAGACAACAGGCTCAACACCACCAGCAACCTGCCAAAGAACTGAGGCACGCTCTGACCTACATCAGACGTGCTCTGAAAAAGCTCCAGGGAGGCAGGTTGGGAGCAGCCGTTTGAAGTAAGGTAGTTACACCCTGACCATGATATTAATGTATAAGGATTTAGTCAGGGATTATACCAGCTACACCAGGGTAGCCAACCTGTGGCACAGGTGTCAGAAGTGGCATGGGCAGCCTTTGTGTGTGACATGGGACAGATCAGGAAAGGGACAGGCAGCACATCAGTAGACCGGACATGAAAGAGAAAAGCAAAGTAAAGTATAACCCAAAGTCAGCCAAGAACATACTTGCATGATCAGTATAGGACCAAGGAATGCATAATCCACGCCCTTTTGTTAATATGGACATCACCCCATACACTCCTCTTTCTGCTTGTTAAATCTATTCCCAGGTCTCCCCTACTGGGGACAGTGAATTGATGTAGTTTTAAGAGCAATCAACAAGGTTATCCCAAAATTGCAATTTTTTAAGCAGCACTCAATATTTTCTCATGGTGAGTGTTATCACAGCAACATAAGTCACACATTTACAGCTCCACATGCTTGGCTAAGAAAGCAGAACAGCCAATTGCTTATGAAAAAAATAGAAAAAGCATGACAGGAAAAGGGAAGGAGAGCAAGATTTACATTAAGAATGTGTGAGAAACACTTCAATCCATATTGTTCACACAATAATCCAGATAGTTCAATTTAATTTGGTCCATATCTAAACCTATTCACGGTACTTATCATTAAAGCATATGAGATCTTATAATTAGGGCCCAAAACCCTGATCCTGAAAACAGTTAAAGAAGCTAACAGGACTGCTTGCATGGTTAAAGTTAAGCATGTGGCTAAGTGCTTACAGCACTGAGACCATAATCACTAAATCTCCTTAAGATAGAAGGATATCAAACACCATGCATGCAGTCTAGTGCCATTTGAAGAGCCATTTTTTTTTAAACACCATGTTTTTAAAAGTGTGTTAGACAAATGTAAAGAAACATTCTGCATTATAGCCCAAATCATAATTTTTAAGGAAGGTTTTCACTCCCTGAAAGGCAACTGAAAGGCGTGTGATAAGTGCTGACAGAAATTTCTCTTAACA